TATTCTAGGAAAGAGTATAATTAAGTTTTTAAAAAGTTTTCCAATCTCCGAATAATTTTGAGCCAGATCTGCCATTGTATTAGCGTTCAGCGACTTCAGTTTACAAGGTGCATGCTTTCCACGTAAGGAAAATCATGTATTTCTCTATGCGTTTAGGAAGATACCACATGGAGTTTATAAAATTTTGCAATGGATCCGGACTTTGTTGTATATTTCACAAGTAGCTCTCATAAACGACCGGGTACGATTCTATGTGAATGGACATCGCGCGGTCTTAAAAAATCTCATAATTTGAACCTTTTTTAAAACCAAATTATACTCCTTGCTTGAATTAAAAATATAAAGAAGACGTCATTCTCTATTAAGGGACTGAAATAAAGCCGATTTTTGTTTATGATTTCTATAAGATATATTTTAATCTGCAAGACCATCGAAAATCAATGAGAAAAAAGCATGCTACTTAAGTAGTCATTTTTCACCCAGCAGCGTTTCTACAGGAGATTGAAAAGCAGTGTCTTCAAAAGCGGACATTCCACCGAGTCCGAAATGTTATAAGATTTTGCCGCCAGATAATCAGTATTACAACCGCGTCTAAGTAATCCTTCCTAATCGAAAACGCATTTCAGAATTTCAGCGAACATTTCATGAGATCGGTCACTCACTCTATGTTTAAAGTTGCCCACAGAACGGAGGCAGTCTTCAGTCGCCAGGTACTGAGGCTTGCCACGAGAGGAAACTTCTGGACTCTTGTAGCAGATCTGGTGCAGTTGTGATGGAGAGGCTGGGAGACTACTCTCGGCGCTGGTAAGCAAGTACATATCAGCAGTCAAGTGAAGCAATGCCAATTCCCAAGTCGCAACTCACTTAGCGCGACTCGGTCATAAATTTAGGTTCAATGAGGTCTAAATTTTCACGGGAATTAACAACCTTGTGGGCAGGAAATTGGTTGGGTTAAGTTTTTTCGACCATCTTACATCAGCGTGCGCAAAGACCTCCTAACCCCATATTCAGTGCTGTGACTTTGCCTTGGCGGGATTACAAGCCTCGGACGAACACTGTTTTAGTGAATAATCATCGTCCTTTTTCCAAAATAAGCATGTAACTTGGCCCACGCGTGCTTACAGGCCAGCCCCGAATAGGTAATTATAGATAATGACTGGCGTTGTGCTAGGGGGGGGACATATTCCGGCGGAACGAGCATTTTGAACAGTGAACCTGACCCATGTACCTGCGCACTGCCGAGTAATACAATCTTAATCATGACAGCGTCAGAAGTGGCACACTATTTTTATCATTGAATTTTTGGTGCAAGCGGGAAATCTAGTGAATTTTGTGATCTTAGCCTTCCCTGAAGGCCATCCGATAATTCTGTGTAATCACCCACTGTGTTTTAGATTTCCCAGATATACCGTGAAAGGGCTGTGCGCTGACCTGTCTTATTCTCTGCGTGCAAATTGACCACGGAATGACTGCTTTTGGAGTTGTTATCAGCCCTTTTATCACCCTTTATTACAAATACAGGGTGGCCCAGATGTAAACGAGCCCTTTTTAAAATTAAAAATTGCTATTTACCGGAACAAAATTTCATTACTCAAGATCACGACAAATGTCCAAATTGTAAATCCTCACTTGTAATACAGATGCAACATCTTTTAATGGTTGAACCTGTCTTATTTTTTCATATCCCCCATCTAATATCATCTCATGCCTTTAATATGCACTGTTTCAGATCATTGAGTGTCTCTGACTTATCGGTGATTAGCTTTATTTTGAGTATTTCCCAGAGAAAGACGTTTACAGGGCTGAGGTCAGTAGTGAACGTTGCCGGCCATTTTACGACACCGCGGTGGCCTATCCACTTACACGGAAAATGTTCATCAGGCCACTTTCGAGCAGAGAGGCCACAATAAACAGGGGCGTCATGCTGCTTAAAGACCAAATCAGCTTAATCCGCACGCTGGGACACTATAGGCCACAAACTTTTATTTAACATCATAATATATGATTTACCTGCTACCGTATTATCAAACAAGTGTGGGGAATTAATTCTGTACTGCAAATGTCACCCCGAACAGTGGTACTAGGCAAATTATGCTCATATTTTACACCTCATGTTGCTTTGAATCTGACCAATAGGCACAGTTATGTAGATTCATGAGAACATTTATTTCAAATCAGGCCTCGACGACCAAACAGATGCAGCTCAGAAGGTCAGGGAAGCCTTTGTATGCGGCCACACAAATTTCACAAAACTGAAGGCACCTGTATCCGTCATCTTTGTTGAGAGTGTAGAATGTAAGTTGATATCGGACATGTTGCGTTGCAAGGACTGTCGCGATATGCCTAGTTCTATAGCGGAGCGTGTCTGGGATTTCAGAGAGCCGTCGACGTATGATGCTGACTTAAAATAGTTCGTAATGTTCTTGGCGCACCAGGATTAGCCGCGTCGACAGTACTGCTAGGATGTTCAAATTTTTGCACTAATTTATATATTATCGGTTTTGACGAAGGCAGTGTATTAAATGGTTCATTCGAATTATTTGTAACATCTTCATAACTGTGGGCCGACGAATTAAATTGTATAACAGCATGAAGTCTCTAAAGTACGTTTTTTGGAGGCCATGTCTCAAATAAAAGAGGGCGACAACAACCATAGAGATTTAGTTACTGCGGAATGACTGTTCTTAGAGTAGTTCTCAGGTCCTCTAGAATCCTGCAGTGCAAATATGTGGCTATAAATGATAGAAACTGGTAACGTAGAACATGCACAGTAATTTGCTAACCTTTTGGAATATTGCAGTATGACCTGAGATGTGATCATTGTCCTCACTGAGCATATGTCTCTAGAGGGCTCGGATAATTAATGTCAGTCTTTAAAACAAGCGTCCGAACCATGGTTTATTTCCACAATGTGATGGGTTAACGTCCTATCTTGCTCTCTGTACACCTCCTCCAACCGTTTGTGTAGATGTTCAAGTTGAAGGCAAAATTGTCGTCGAAACTGCTAGCTTGTTTGTCTCATGACAGGTGAAAACATGCAAGTCTGAAGTAATTTTTCCAAAAAATTCGATAACATGCTGCTCTTATTCATGGTTTTTCGTAGTTCTCACCACAGCGTCAACCAAGCAGACACACGGTCACAACACACGGACCCCAGTAAATCACCTCCATTAGGATATTTGAGTCTGTCAACTCTATGCGTAAATTTATGTAAACCCCTTTGTTTACGCCTACTTGCAGAGCCGTTTCTCCTACTAGGCGTCTTTTAAGACTCAAGAAAATGAACGATCATTTTACTTCAAAGCTTCCGTTTTTCCGGAAAATTGTCTGCTAATATGACAGGAAAGTAAAGATTTCTCTTCTTGAAGAAGAAGACACGATCGCCGGGACAAGAGCTTTATTAGCCTGACGTTTCGGATTCCTGCCTGGCGATCGTGTCTGCTTCTTCAAGACTGCTTCCTGGGACTCGTCTCTTCGCTTCTATTGATTTCTCTTCGGTAGTGAGCGCATAAGATTATACCAGTGAGCGAAGTATTTACTTCTGTGGCTGATGTATAGATCGAAGTTGCACGTAGTATATGACTTAAATACACTTTTAGGTGTGAAGACAACAGAAGGCAGTACTTACGCGAAAAATCTTCGGACAAATGCCATCAGGACACATAAGAGAGATTTTTTTTTATCAAAGTAACCCTTTCTCCAACTGTTTGACTGTATGTTCTTAGTATAACTCCTCAGGATTAAGGGATGAGTTCAAGTTGAATGCAAATTTTTCGTCGACACTGCGAGCTCGTTTATCTCATGGTTAGTAGAAACATGGAAGTCCAAAGTAATTATTCCAGTAAATTTGACAGCGGTCTGCTACTATTCATGGTTTTACACAGCTCTCGTCAAATGTGCCGGTGTCAATCAAGCCGACACACGGCTACAGTGCACAGACCCCAGTAAGGCACCCCCATTTGGATATCTGAGGCTGTCAAGTTCGTTTGCAAGTTTGCATGAACCCGTTGGCTCTCGTTTACTCACAAAACTGTTTCTCCTACGCAGCGTGTTTTTGATACCCAAGGCAATGAGTGGTCATCTTACATTGAGTCGCTCGCCTTTCCGGAAAATTGTCTGCTGATTGGACAGGAAAGTAAACATTTCTCTTTTAGTGGAAGCGTCAAAGATCACACTGATTGCCGAAGTCTTTGCCTCTGTGGCTGACGTATAGACCAAATTTGCACAGATTTTACACTGTTAGGTCTTCGAAGAACAGAAGGCAATACTTGCACGAAAATTCTGCAGAGAAACGCCGTCATTAATACAGGAAAGAGCTGTTTTATCTAGTTGACCCATTTTTTACTAGCATTTTATGGCACTTTAAAATAAAAAAGTTACCGGATGACAACTAGTAGTTGGTTCTACATTGGTTTCTGAGATGTGATTTTGCACGTTCATTCACCCTGACATTCATCTTTGTTTAAATAATGCTTCATGTAAAAGCGATCATTCATTAGCCACTAGCTTTACATATACTGATTTAGTAGAACTGCTTTTTGTAGTTTAAAGTCCTTACCCTTCTGGTTAGTTCTGGTGTACAATGCATGCTTCGTCTGTATTCCGCGGCAACTTTCCCAATCTGGTTGGCAGTCAGACTTCAAAGTGCCGAAACCCACTAATACATATTTGCGATCTTTATACCCTACTAAACTTGGCGATTAATTTCATTTTATTATGGAAAGTTTATTCAGCCCTGGGAATACGTTCGCGTGAGAAAATGTATTAGCACGATATCACACGCACGCAAACGCGTTTTTCATTCGGTCGCTTTGATTCAACTGTTTTTCGTTTTTCCACGTGCCGTTACATCAAACGCACTGAAAGGTTTACAAAACATAGGCTTTATTTCAGTAGTTCAGCAGGCATTCTTAAAATATCTGTTGCCCTGAACTCCTAGACAGGTCACAGGCCGTAAAAAATTGATAAAGTGTCAATCCCTGTAGGCAGGGAAGACTGTCTCAGTTCTCATCAGAGAGAAAGTAGTCCATTCCACCGATACAGAGTTGCTTTGATCTCTTGTGAGGCATCTCTGCTGGAGGTAGGGAATGGCTGGCATCGAAAAGCGTCACCACAAAGGAGGCCATGTTTTCGCGGGCAGCCTTGAAATTGAGCTCTGACAGTCCTGTGGAAGAGGTCGCGGTGCCATGCTTTTTAAACTTGTCAAAGACGTTTGTTGCGGACTCTACAATGCAGCGAAAGACGGTTGAAGTGTATCAAGTGACGTCTTGATAGGGCTAGCGTATGTAATCCCACATGTGACTTATTCCTAGGATGTCTACCTGAGGAAAATTAATTGCTCACCAGATCGGGGAACTTTTCTGGCTGACGTTTCAAAGAGCTGGGACTGCTCTCCATTGTCAAAACGTCAGGTGCAAAAATCGATCGGAATTTTTCAATAGACTGCCGGATTAGATGGCCTTGGGCGGATCGATTTATTTTCTTCTTTCGCTGCCTTGGCCTACTGGCCGTCGCCTGTGAGTGTTTTTGTTCTCCTGTATTACGTGTCTTTAACTCGATTGGGGTTAGTTGCATTTGCGTTCCCCTTTTGGGTGAAGTGTTCAACGGGTCGTGTTCGCTCGGTATTCTTAGGCTCCGTATGATTGTCTTGTCCCTGTCACAATGTATGTAGTGACGTAAGACTTTATAGGCCGATGGAAGGTCTAGATGCCTGTTGATGGAGTTGGCCTCTGGGTACCAAGCCTCAAATGTGAGACGCTCAATCCTTGCCGTCTTAGGCAGGGGCACCTCAAGGACTCAGATACCAACTCCATCAACAGGCATCTAGACCTTCCTTCGGCCTATAAAGTCTTACTTCACTACATACACTATGACGAGGACAAGACAATCATACGGAGCCTAAGAATACCGAGCGAACACGACCTGTTGACCACTTCACCCAAAAGAGGAACGCAAGCGCAACTAACGCCAATTGAGGTGACGACACATAATACAGGAGGCCACCAACACTCACAGGCGACGGCCAATAGGCCAAAGCAGTGAAAGAGGAAAAAAAAGTCGATCAGCCCTAGGCCAACTAATCCGGCAGTCTATTCAAAAATTCTGATCGATTTTTTCACCTCACACTTTGACAATGGAGAGCAGCCCCAGGTATTCGAAACGTCAGCCAGAAAAGTCCCCCGATCTGGTAAGCAATTCATTATCCTCAGATTACCGACCCGGATTTCTTACTTTTGCTAACCTGGTATGTCTACCTCCTTCAATTACGCTGAAATGTCTTGTTAGGGCTACGACTGCGGTTAAAACTTATGATAATGACTGCGTTTAGGGCTGGGGTTAGTGTTGGATCTAAGTTCGATATTAGGTTGCATATAAAGATTGAGGAGAGGTTCGTAACTCAGGATAGGGTTAACTTCGCCTGTCGCATGGCGTCTTACCCAATCCAGTCAATATTAACCGATAACCACGGATTATCTGTTTCAGCCCGTTTACGCTCTATAAATACGCACCTTTTCAAATTGTACAGTCCGATTTGGGATCTCGTTGGAGTGATAATTAGGTTGCCAAACCAGATAACCTCCATGTACATTTACTCCTTTACTCGCTCCAGTAAAGCAGGTCAAATAGTTCGCACGAGTCAAACCCTAATCAAAAGACTATGAGATCACCCCCTCGGCTTGGCTGGAAAAAGGCCAAACTAGAAGCATAAGCGGCGCCAATCTTGTGCATGTTGCTGATTCCGAACATCGCGTAAACCGCGGCGAAGCTTTTCGTGTGATCTGTAAGATCCCATTGAACTATCCTACGCTACTAGGTCAGCACCTGTTAGGAACAGCAGAAACGACCGCCATCAAGTTACGAAAACCTACCTAATGCTCGCAGAAGAACCCCGTTCAGGCTCCGTACCCGGCGTGGTCAAAAGGTGACTAACCTTTAAACTTTGCACGCCCTTTCGATTTCAACCCGGCCGTGGCATTGGCCGCTATTACCCCCATTCCCAGACCCCGCCTGTGTTTAAAGGCGAACTGCAGTCGACTTCTCCAACCGTGTCTTTACTTCTACCGGTTACTCTATAAATGTACCGGCCGACAAGAGTCTGTCGACAGCAACTTATCTTCTTAATACTGCCATGGAAATTTCTACAACTGTAATAAATATGTGTCAGAAATGCGGGTTTTCTTAATACCTTCCGCAGATTCCGCAGACGTCGATCGACCCCACCCATAAAATACCTATTTACATTCTCCCTCACTACATTGGTTGCAGCGCTTCTTTTTTGGGTGGCGCCGAACGCAATATCGTTACCGAAGTCTTGTTATCCAATGTAGGGATCTGAAGAAATACCCTGCGGAACGCTAATGCGGAGACCACATAAAAAAATTAGGAAAACAGTAGAAGTAAACTTCGACAGTCAACCGCCAAGGATCTGCTAGACGTGGACATAATGTCTGTCTTGAGTGCTTGATTACTTCTGGAGCCATCCAATTGCTGCAGTTGGACAGATCGGTAGGAGAGAATATCCGAGAAGTAAACTGGACTGCAAAATGAGCTTTTTTAATGAAATTGCGGAATACCGTTCTGTCCCCTAGCATTAACTGAATGTTAAAGTAAAGTTTTTCGCTCCGCACTCAGACGACCGACGGTGTCCACCGTGCGCTCCACAGCAAGATGAGGCAGGAAGACTGACTCGCGCATTAATCAGTTTATGGAGTAATCAGACTTGCGTAGCACCTACCGCACTCTCTCCTCCTCTCCCACCGAGACCCGTTGTTAAGACATAGTCAAGAAGACCGGAGGTGCGGGAGAGGTCCCGCACGTAGGCTCACACCGCACTCCCTGGTCCACGCAGCAAATGACCAGGATTTTAACCAGCAACAGCATCAGAACGGGCCAGAAAGACGATAAGGATGACTGGGCTAATATGCACACGAGCCGTATACCCAACGGGAGCGCAAAGGCATCTGCTGGCGGTGGAACCAGGTGCCAGAGAATTGCCAGCGCGCACCAGGTTGTGAGGGCCATGTCTTACTGAATCGTGGAACAGTCGACGCTCACAATCCTTAGGCCATTGACATGGCATTTGCTGTGTTGTTGGCACCCATACTAAAGTGCTGTATTCTTTCCTTTGGACTGGGTGTTCGGCCACCACAACTATCAGATAATACAGTAATCCTATTGGCTGAATTTGTAAGACACTGGAATAGGAAAATACGTGGACTTGATTCATATACCATGGCTACTAATTTGACTGAGGTAGTATGGTGACACTAGGGAAATCTCTGAGAATTTACTGCTAAAACACGTACCTCACCAGGGTCTTGTTTTCAGCTCGACTATTACATTTAAATAGGCATTCGAATCAAATGAGGTTTTTTACGGTCAGACACGAAATTAGGACCCCGCACACCGTACTGTATGTGGCTTTGCGCAGAATTCCAGCATGGGTATCTATTCCCGTGTCCTAAACTTAGCACTAACCCTAACTCCAACCTTACCCATAACTCGTCATTGGCCTTAACTGTAGCTCTGGTCCCTCTGGACTATAGAGAAATCCCACCCGTAATATAGGTGGGTACAGGTAGGTACAAATCTGCAGAGAGGTGGTGATGTGTCTTTTGTCCTCTGTGACCAGAAATTATTACTAATGTGTATTTGAAGCATTTTGTACCCGGTACGAAGCTGAAGTAGGCAAGAAGGGCAGGATTTATTGGTACCAAAAAATTTCGCGACAGCTCTTCAGCTGCGTCCTGTCGCTTCATAAGAGAGATAACGAGTGAGAAGAATACAACAGATTTGAATTCGTGCAGAAAATCAATGCAGTAACAGCAAGGTCAGGGTTTTGGGCAAACCTGGCTAATCGATAAAGCTAGTAACACAAACACCGTAGGGGAAGAAAGTGAAAAAAGGGGAACCTTAAAGAGCAAAAATGAGAGGAGAGAGGGGGAATCATGGAGCTAGAGGCTACCATGGCAATGTAAGATTAACCACGTGTTCCAATTGTTTACAAAGATCTGTTTTCACTCGTCGTATATAGGCTGCCTCCAGGTAACGCAATGTCCGAGTTGTTCGGGCCCGAACAAGTACTCGGAAGGAAGTTTTGGGGTCGACGGAGTGACCAGTATCAAGTAGGTGTTTCGTAATGGAGGAACGCGGGATTTTATTATGTTGTCTTAGGAGCCACTTGGGCAGGGGCTTAATAGACCTGGCTGCCAACTGCCTTTGCGTGCTCTTATGAAGCGACAGGACGCAGCTGAAGAGCTGTCGCGAAACTTTTTGGTACCAATAAATCCTGCCCCTCTTGCCTACTAATGTGTATCATGCTACGCAAATGAAATAAGTAGACACGATATATGAGTGTGTTTTATGAGGTTCTATACGATGTTTGACCGTAGAATTAAAGCCATGTCCGACATAAATATTTGCGCCTACAAATAAACTGCACCGTTCCAATCACGCCTGACAGTATCTAAGATCACATGGAAGCACCTTAAGGGCGCTAAGTGAAATAATTTGCCTGTTTATTTATAAGCCTGGACGTCATTTTTTCACAAACTGAGTATGAGAAAGGATGTTTATGCACATGCTTTCCATTAAATACTTTTAGATATAGATGACTATCAGAAAGTAACAGTAAAATGCATATCGCCTGAGTAGTCATTTTTAGATGATTCAGTTTTTACATATGGACGCTAATACGCGCATTTACAAACCAGGATCTTAGCGCAAATGAAATATCTTTGGATTGTTTTGGAAGTTAACCAGTTCTAAAACTCAATTTGAGCAATTCTTTCGAATCGGACTCATTAGCTTTCAATAAATGGTTCCCAAATTAAGTTAAAAACTATAAATATGCTTATATTAGGACAAAACGATACCAGTGATTTCAAGGCACACTAAGTGTCCTAACTCATGAAATGTTATTCTCCCTCAAACTTCGACCATGGCATTTTAAGAGTTAAACCACCTACTATATGACCACTGCTAAACAATCAATGCAAGCTGCATCACATGCCAGATAATTAGTTAACTCGGAAAGAAGACAGTAAATTTAAAATTTTCATGATTTCTGTTTGTTCAAATGTAAATGAAGTTTCGTTTCCCACGGTAGCTGGACTTTTGCAATTGTAGCGTACCTGAGTCCGTGAAGAAACCGGCTTCCGTTTCACTGCTTCCAACTGGTGATTCCCGCTGGACGTAGGGGGCACCGTCGCCGCGGCATGCCGACCCTAGCGGAGACAGTTCAGGGAGGAGACTCTCCGGTCTGTTGGGTGACAGCGGCGTCGAGGAGTGTGATGGGGGAGGCGGCGGTTGTGCCATTGCTGAGAAAGGGAGTTGTTGTCGACGTCCGCTGGGCCAGAGTGCTCGCGGTTTTATTCGTCGACACAGAAGACTGCCCAGTAGAATCAGACAGATTAGCAACAGTGCGAGACATGTAAGAGTCAAGGAATTCGTCCCAGCCGCCACTGAAATGGACAAATCAGCAAATGTCAGTGAGACTAATGACGGTTGTGCGCTTAGCGCTCAGTGGACATCTTGAAATATTTCGGGCTGGCATAATTTACAGAATTGCGTACGTAGATAAATGATCATGCAAGGACAAGCATCACCAGTGTCATCAGCGAGCTGCAGTTACAGCAGAAAATTGAATACGAAGGCGTGAACAATAAAGAAGCTTAGTTCAGCGTCTTGCGATGTCAAGTTCATCCACTTTCACCAATAACGGTTCCAGATGCGAAGATCTTGCTGAAGTGTGACCGACTGCAATAGGCATGCACATTCATGCAGTCACGGCTGTCCGTACCCTCCCCCCCCCAAAGTCCACCAACAGGCGGTCAATAAAAGCCAATTCGACCGTTGCGCACCATGGAGTCTACAGTATGCTTGCGTGGAGATTACCTCATTGTGAGACAGACTTGCGATGAATCTACCGCACTCTCACTCCCCGGACAGCAAGACAATATGAAGACAAACAGCGAAGCGCTCAGATGCTATGGACCAGAAAAGTAGACAATTGTCTACGCGTACCACACACGAACCGACCCCAACAGCATTTGCCGATTTTTTGCGAGGGCGGCTGGGATCCCACACGCGCGAAAGCGTGGTAGAGTCTACATTAGACAGAAGCCCCCGCAACTTGATTCTCACGTCTGCGAACGACCGGGTTATCCCGTCAGTTGGCGGTTATCCAAGGTGCCATTTTTGCATTTTATGATGGATTTAGGCGAGTCATATTTATTTTGTTGGCCATGACGCCGCCGCGTCGTGGGAGCGGATTTCCCCCTTCTTTCATGTTCCAGTCGGCTGTTCAAGCCTGTCAGAAATCCGGTGCTGGGAATGGTTGCAATGGCTCGTCCGGAGTAGAGCTTACACCATAACCTGCCATAACGTCCTTCATGTACAGAAATTAATCACGGTCTTCCAGGGAAACGGCGCTACCCTAAGTACGCCTCTTATGAGCCAATCTGACCGTCATTTTTTCCAGAGCATCTAGAGCGCAGGTCGTTTTGAGGATTAGGTTAGCTAACCACAGAACACCCGAATATAGTACTTCTCACATATAGTCGCACACACAATTTTGGCAGAAAACACTTAGACTTGCCTCCAAAAACCTTCAACTACAGCACTCCTCACAGTCCCCTCCCGTCTATCAAACATGACTTATCTATATCAGCACAAGCCCAGAACACGCCAACGACCACTGTTGCTTACGAAAACAAGTCCGCGTTCTGCATACTGTAGACCCATCAATTTCACGTCTCCTCTCTCTTTTATCCTGCTAATTCAAACGTGGCTGGATGAATGCGGGTCTGGGAGTAAATCCACCAATCGAGCCGCAACAAATTGCTGACCCCGCTGTGATCCGGACCAAAGTAGCCTCGTTCGCGGTCTCAGTTTTGCCAATTCGGGTTCGAACGGAAGAGATCAGCAGCAAACCCCTGCAAGCCTTGCTGCCATGGCAAGGAACACCTACCCTCTACTGTGATGAATGTTGGGTCTGGTAGTCTATCTACCGCGATGTGAACGTTAAACTTCAAAACCCGACACTGTGTCATCCTAGATCGTAAGACGGTGCTGACTTTAAGTCATGTCCACCTCCGCCGATGCTTTTAAGCGCAAGTTGGACCAGTGTACTACTAAACGTCCTAATGTCACCTGACCGACATCGTCTTAGCATTTCGTTCGAACAGTTTATTAATGTTATTATATTACTGCCTGCAATTCAGAGGCATTTGTTTTTTATTATTGTCCCGGGTCCGTTGAATGTGTGTTGGCATTAATTCGTTTCCCTCAGAAATTGAGATTGTACCAATTATCCATAGACAGACTACTGCACAGCACATTTAGTAACGTTAATGTTTTGAACATTTGGAACAATTCGTTTATCTGCCTGGTTTCGAAAACTTTGAAAATCTGAAAAAAACTTCTGTGACTATTTGATGTTCCCATTTTTAAATTTTTGATATAATTCGCTTCCTTGTAGCAAATAGGGAGTTCAAAGATTCAACACCTATCTTTCCCTCAAATAAACTGAAACCGAAACCAAACGCTCTACATTTGAATTCCCAAATGTGGAGTGCTTAGTGCGTGCATTCGGTCTGAAGTCTCCAAAACAGACCACTTTTGCCAGCCTATCTTTATGGTCTTAGTTTAGAGGAGTCGGGATAGGATTGTATGCAATTGCTTAACTATTTGTCATGCTGACAACACAGGTACTAGCTAAAATCCCAGATACAAGTGTTTTAAAATTTTGTGCCGATGCCTGACGCAGCTGCGAGGGGTTAGGCTTATCAGTGGGTCCCTCAGACCTCTCCGCGTGCTTTCCGGTATATGAACTTTAGTTTCCTCTTGGCTTGTTTAGTTCCCAAAGAAATTAATGCGTGAACTTAAGGCAATTTTTTCGAAATACAGTCCGCAATTGTGCCCTAATGGCTTCCTGTTGGCGGCTTGTGTATATTAGGCTCAAATATTCATGTACATTTTCGGACCATGTCTGAAAAGCTCAGCTTTAAAGGATTTCCTCGGAAGTTAGAAAAGGCATCGAATTGTATACCTGTCAGTTAACTCTGTATGATTGTTCATTCCAGACCACCACAATTTGTTTTGAGCTGAAGGTTCCTTGCCATGACTCTAGAAGAAGCGAAATTATTTTCAACGCATATGACGCGCTGCCAATTACAATTTAATCTGGTGTTTCCAGCTTCAGTCTCAACAAACACAAACGGAAACTACGTACCGACATGACTGATGCCCTTTCATTTAGTTATAATAGGCATTCAGTTTCCGGGTAACATTTCAGAGAATATGGAGCTCCTTGCCGGGAGGGAGGTGTTCTGTCCTGTTGCCCAAGCTGTTGCTTTCCTCAACACATTGTTCGCAACCGAATTCCTGTTTCATTATAAGACGCGTAGGTTGCATACTCATTTTTAGCGACGCAATAAAAGCGTCAGCATTGATTTTGGATTGAGCTGTGCACTGTCGATTCGCTGTGCTCTGAGTCACAGTCATCCTCAATATAATTGCCAGTAAGTAATAGTCCCGGGACCACAAATGCCATTCATGAGTCAGCGCATTCAAACAAACTTTTTGAACATTGTCTCATCGACTCGTAGTTAACGGCCAAATTCTTTTCGCTTTTTCCAGGTATGCTGATTGGCCTGCATCGACGTATAAACCCATTAAAACCCTCATCCATTTTGGGAATTTGCAGACTTGGGAAACCGAACCCAGAATAAGATACATCCGATAGTTGGCTAACAACAAAACTCAATTGATCTGTGAAGTTAACATGTTAACCATTTGGAAACCAAGTTTGCTCACAATAATAAACTCAGTTCTATCCTGCAAGTGAACAGATTTTACTTTTCCTATTTCAGGCTAGGCAAATGTCTGTTCCACCTTCCACACTCCCCGGAGAGTTGGGATCAGGTTGTTGTGTTCGAAGTCCTCTCTGCTGGCCCATCAAAACATGCAGTGATTTCAGATAAAATTCTTAGGGTAACTTATAATTTTAAACCAAGTTTTTTTCATGCCTTTTTGACACGTTACTATGCTTGTTTTGACTTCCCTAAGAGTTATGTTTCCCAGGTGCACACGAATTTCACCTAACGGTCAGGCTCTACTGTTCACGATGAGATACCCGCATTTCTGGTCGCAATCTAGACAAGTGAGTAAAAATGGTAAGCGGGAAGCAGATATATAGGGCTGAGAAAAAAAGGAACATGGCCGACGTAATTAAAATTTTATTTGTCTGACTTTTCGCCTCCACACCAGACTGATCATCAGTAACTGCACCAGACATCAGCAGAAACATGACACTCACTGGTTACTTCTAAATTGAAAACATGCATAATAATATTCATGCTTTAACTCCCACGACAGAAAATCATGTCTTTTCTGAATTTTGTACTTAAAAGGCGGGTAGAATTCGGTTTACAAAAACTTTTTCAACGCCCGGATAATTTTTAAATCCTACCTGCCGTTATACTTGGATTCAGGTTTACTAAACTACAAGCTGTACATTTTCCGTGCATGGAAAATCATGTATTTCTATCTGCTATTAAGAGGAGATCATATAAGTCATATATGAGGCATATGAGATATATTCATATGAGAAATATTGCACACTCTAGAAGCGGCAGTTTTAAGTCCGGGGACACGATGTTTTATGAACGAGCCTTCCACGGTCTTAAATAATTCAATTAAAATAACCGGATTACACCATTAATTCAAGTATGCAATTCAGAGAGGACGTAATCTTCTACTACAGAAGCAAACGACTGAACATTCTATGCATTTATTCTGTGAAATATGATTGAATTTATAAGGGCATCGAATTTAAATGAGAAAAATTTTTATTATATAACAAATAGTTTTTCAGTGGAGGGGCGCTCATCGGTTGATTATGCGGAACTCACTCTTCTCGTTGCGCCTTACAAGCTCTCCCTCGAGCCCAATCAGCAGCCTCACAGCGGCACATAATATAGGCAGAACGTTATAACCGACAAAGAAGACAGAGACTGAAATAGTCATTTCTGGCTTATTAGACATCGTCAGCCAGTCATACCCAACCTCGAAGTTTTAAACACCTGAAGCTCGAACTCGCGCCGTGTTAGTTAGAAGTCCGACGAATCTAACCACTGAGCCACGGGCTCGTTGTCCTGTCGGTTTTGATAGGGAATATATTATGGTGGAGGGGCGCACACCGATCGCATTTACGGAACTCACGATCCGCTGGAAGAGAAGGACTTCTCACCGCCGAGTAAACACCACTCATTGTCTGTCGACCAGGCCGTCATATTTTCAAGGGCCCCATGAAA